GGATGTAAATACCTTAAACTTAGAAAACAACATTACTGCAATTTTACTCATGTCAAAAATGAATGGTTTGTATTTCAAATTTCAAGCCTCATCGAGAATCTAGTGAAAACAGTAACATTTTAGTGTTTGGTAATATTAAATGAACATTTTGTGGATGCTGCCTGAAGTCTGACTCTTTTATGCCTCAACTTCTGCCAAAGGACAGTCACGTTACATAGTATTTGAAGTTAGATCTGGCTCAAAAATGTGTAAGTGATACCTAATTTTCCTAAACGGTCAAGTCCATACTTGACCCTGGGATATGCCATTTCTAACAGCATGCAATCATAAAAGAAACCTTGCAGCCGAGGCAAGTTCTTTTCTTAGAAAGCTTCATCATATTTCACAGTGTCAATATACATGGAATCACCATCTGAAGCCACAAAGCCTTCAACTTTCCTTCCTGAACAAAAAAGTTGTTGTTTTACCCGGTAATAATAGGAGTGGGTTGGATTTAGTATCAGCTGCCCATTACCATTCTTCTTGCAGATACGCCTCCTAACAGGAGACTCCAATAAACCTTCATTGTCCTTTGGGTGGACTTTCTTCACCTCAACTAATTTATCCTCCCCAATTAGTCCATCTGGAGAAGCAGAAAGGAATGGATGGGCACAACTGACAGTTTGATTGCTCGCGGGTGCCCCTTTCAACCGATTCAACTTCTTCTTTGGTGATGAAAAGTTTTTTTTTTATTCTTTCTGCGCGATCTTTTATCTCAGTTAAAGAAACAGGCTGCTGTTTAGGTGGACTTATGATGCTATCAATGGCACTAGATTTGTGAGCTTTGGAACATTGGCCAAGATTGTTAACAGCAGTAGCCTGAGTGTGTACTGGTAACTCAATTTTTGTACTGGCTTCAACTTCGACCTCTGATGCATGTGCCAAGTCAATATCCTGCATTTCATGACTTAGTTCCTGAGAACTTTGCTGGACTGATTCCAGTTCATTTGGCAGTTTTCCAGTTATCAAGTGAAATACAGGTGATAGGGAGGAGCGTTCGTTTGCAATTAGAAGGTCATTCTTAAGTTTTATCTTTCTTTCAAAGTCCTTATCCTCTTCAAAAGTAAAAGAGTATTTTCTTTCAGCAACTGAAGGTGAAGGCTTGAATTTCTTTTTTGGAGGTTCCTTGCCAAATTTCGCTTTATAAATGTTTATGTCTTCAGCAAATTTTGGATCACAATGTGACCCTTTAGGCTCTGCCCATGGACATGGAATGTCAGTACAAGCTGGATCTGCTGGAAGTTCAGTGAGACCTTCGGCAACAATTTCACACAAAACATACAACAAAGCACCCACATGGGCACAGTCTTTCCGTAGTCCTACAGTGCATGTACAGTGGCCAAAACACGGCTTTCCATTGTCAGTAAGAACAACATGGACTGACTTTACATCATCAGCGTTCGTAGAGAACGAAGGATTGCAAAATGCTTTAACTGCACAAACACCATCCAAGCCTGGGAGTTGATTGAATCTAAAGACAATGAAAAAATAAATATTGAACTAAAGATCTATCAAACTAAAAAATAAAAACTAAAAAGAATGAGCGACTCATTGGCAGCAGAAAGAAAAATTGTAGGACCAGGTGCATGAGACCAGATGATATTTGTTAAATATTAAGCTATGATGATACACTTTAAAAGATCTATCAATCTTTATAATATTTAGCAACACACACAACATTTTGTAAATTTAAAGACAAATGCCTCTGTGAATAGAGGCATTGCAAAGAAAAAGGCCAAAAATGTATTTCAAAGTCGGATTTACCTCACAGAATGAATCCCTCTTTTGTGATCCCAAGCTCGATTTGTTTTGTACTTGACAACTTGATCCTGAGTGAAGCCCTCACCTAGCAAATAATTTCCAACAGCCCGCGTGTCCAGTTGTGAAGGGAATCCTTGTAAAGACTTGACTCAGCCTTTCACATGCTGCAAATATGCGGGTGTAATCTTCAGGCATGCTGGTACCTCCACATCTCCACTTGTAAACAGCATATCCGCGTTGGAGTCTCGAGCATTAGGCTTTGAGCAATTCGTTGGGATTTTTAATGAATTCAAACAATATTTATCAACGCATTCTTCCCAAGCTTTTCCAAAGGAAGCTCACCGGACATTGACTTGATGTTTGGCCTTCACAAACAACTGATTGAAAACGTTGTGTAAGAAACGACTCTAACCAATTTAGGAGCGGGCCTTGGATTCCATAGTGCTGCAGGTTCCTTAGGAGTCGCCTGTGAGGGACCTTGTCGAAAGCTTTGGCAAAGTCCAAAATGATTGTGCGAACAGATGACCTCTGAATAGCCTGTAAGGTGAGAATTAGCTGCATCTCTGTGGATCTCTTTGCCCTAAAACCATGCTGACAGTCTGTTAAGATGTTATGGTCGTTTAGATGTGTCGTAATAAAGGTGTGGACGATATGCTCGAGGCTCTTCGATGCAACACAAGTAAGAGATATGGGTCTATAGTTTCTTTCTCTTTTTAAAAAACTGCACACACACTAGCCTCCTTCTACTTGTGGGGGACAGTGCCACTGTCTATCCAGTCTTGAAAGGTGTCGGTTACTATTAGAGCAATGTCTGCAGCAAACGTTTTGAGAAACCAGGGTGGAATCTGGTCTGGGCCACAGGCGTTGTTAGGGTTTAATGAAGACAGCTGTTATTAAGACTCCTTGTTCTGAGATAGTTAAAGGCCCTAATCCAGGTGTAGGATCAGAGCCCATTTCTGGAATGTTTTCAAGGGCCTCGTTAGTGAACACACTTGAAAATTGGCTGTTTAAAATATTGATAATCTGCAGCTGGGTAACTTTGTAACTTCCAGGATGTTCTTTTACAAGCTACAAAAGTAATTCCTCAAGAAATTAAATTCCCTTTCAAGGGTGTTGCAATAAAGAAGACCTGTAGCTTTGGATGCCAGAGAAAGTAATTGTCAGGTACCTATAAATTCCTTTTTCTGTTGCATTTGCATCTCATGGGTTGCATATGGGTCTGGACGATCAACTTATTACTTTGTGGTTGTTTGTTGTACAGCAGATATTGTTGAATTTAATAATAGGTATTCTGTTAATGGTTGTGTGGCAGGAAATGAACATACATCAAAATAAATTTCAAAAATTTCACCAGTCTTAAAAACAATTCTCACTTGGTAACAATGTCGGTCAAACACGGTTTTCTGCTCTCCGTAATTTGTCTTTTATACTCTGCAACTTGCTGTCCTGATGTGTTTGAACTGAATGAGCAGTTTGCTAAAGGTAACGTCTCTCGATTGGTAGTCACCAAAATCGATTTAAATGGTTACAAAAGGGACATTTCGACATTTCAAGCCCAAGATTGGAAAGATTTCGTAATGGAATTTTGCATGTGCATACGAGAGCAGAAGGTCGTCCCAAGAGTACTCCGTAATGAGGAGCTCTTGGAATTAACACCTCCAATCAATGGGCCTTTATTCAACAGTGCGTGGAATTTCTCTGTGATGGAGCGTAACCATCGAAACATCTCCTTTGTTCTATTTCGCACCTGGCATGGAACAATACACTCCGGTCTATTCACAAAATGGCGTAAACTACGATATTCCAAAACACGCATTGCCTATTACAGTAATTCTTTGGCTACTCAAGCACTCTTGTTAAGCGGTGATGTGGAAAAAAATCCCGGACCTAGCCAGGAAAAGGTGGCAAGCACCAATAATTTATCTAGGTCGAAACCAAAAGCGGCCAAGTGTGATCATTGTCAGAAAACAATTACGTGGAAGCAAAAGAACATTTCATGTGCAAATTGTCTGGGATGTTTTCACCTAAAGTATGTGTACCTAAAATCAATGGTGAACAACTGGCTGTGCAATAAATGCACACGAGCGGCTCTGCCATTCTAGAAGTGTTCGGATGCTGAAATGCTCGAAGGGGCCAGTTTTTTGGATACTGACCTTGACACAGATATTATCACGGTGACTGATCAGGGAGAAAATGGAACTACACTTAACACATCTACTGGTCCCGACCTACTAAAGGCGGCAAGGCAGAAAAGTGCCAAGGGCATGTTATTATGTCACTTAAATATATACAGCATTCAGAACAAATTTGATGAGCTGAAGGATATTATTATCAATAATAGGGTGCAAATTATGGCTGTCAGTGAGATTAAAATTGATCATTCATACTCAGACTCCCAGTTCCTAATACCAGGGTACTACTTGCACCGAAATAAGCAAAAAAAGGGTGGAGGTGGTGTTCTCTTGTTTGTCTTATCTAAGATACTCTGCAAGAGAGTCACCTTTGACAGGTGTTATAAAACTATTGAACCTTTAGCCTTGAAGATTGGCCTCAAATCGGGAAATGCGATTATACTGGTTATCTACAGACCGCCTAAGAAGCTAACTGGTAAATACAGACTCCTACTTGAGGAGGAGTTAAATCATATTGCCAACTGGGCTCGCCTTCAATATCCAATGGTTATAATAACAGGCGACCTAAACCTGAACAGGATGGAACCCAGCAGCCCTGAAGGAAAGCTTTTTCTTGATCTTGGGGTGGAACAGGGCCTTGAATGTATGATAATCAAACCCACTCGGATACAAATGAGAGGCTCTCTTATCACTAAGAGCTTGATCGATGGCTATTGTACATACCAGGTCATTCACATCAGCATTAGTTGAGCTAAAGGAAGACATTTCCATCAGATCAGGACGGCTGTCTTGATCCTGATCCATTTGTTTGGTTGGTTCCTTAAGGTTAGGTCATTTCCTTCTTGCTTCAAAGCCATTCATATTTTTATTATTTCTCCCATTTTTGAGGCCACACGACTTAGGTCACTTTTATTGACCGCTCTTAGGGTTCCAACGTCATTTATCTAAAGAAAAAGGCGAGAGAAGGTGAGATCTTGCTAGCTTTACAACATGTTAAGCCAGCACAAAGCTTACTTGAGCTTATAAACAATAAAAGTAAGCTTATCCCGTATAAAAAAAACTAAATTTAGTTTAACCAAAGCTTTTTATAGTACATTTTAGACTGTTATTAAAAAGAACGGGGAATTATCCAGGATTCTTGTTTACTAGACTCGACTCTGATTAGGAAGGTTTTCCTTAAAATATTGAAGCTTAACATAAACTAAAAAACTCTCTAGTATGGGTCATGTATAGGTGCGGAAGTAAAAATGAAAAATTTCTCAGGTAATTCTCGCCACTTAACGATTTTTCTTCGCCAAAATTTGCAAATCCTTTCTGTCTGCAAAACGATCTTAGAGAGAAAATCCACCCGCACAGGGTATAAACTGTGCCTGAAGGTGAAATGAATTGACAGCTTCAGCTTACGTGTATGGCGCCAGTTTCAATTCACCAGTTTGGGCCTTTTATCTCAAACTCCCTTTTTCAATTCGAGTTCGAAAAAGAAAGTTCACGGTTGTTTTCTGTATGCAGAAAATATGCGGATGATCTTTGATCAGAGCTGACAAAGTGTTGCTCGCGTATTTGTACTTTTCTTTGAGGTGGTAAAGTTACTTGGAATGTACAAGATGTACAGACTAGTTCGCTGAATTTCAAATACAAGGTAATACGCGAGTTTACTTAACCATTTCTTCTCTAAGAACACTGCAAACATTTGCAAATGAACTTTAATTAAAGTTACATCGCTTGATAAGTTCAACTGTTTATTAACTATTGCAAATTTTACAGCAAGCGATATCCACTGCCCGCAGTTAGCAGATTAGCTAGGGTGACCCGAAAACACTGACCCCCAGTCCATGGACCCCCCCTACGGACCGCCCCTTTTGGACCTTCAATAAAAAGACAATAATGAAAATGACAATTAGAGGTTTGACTTACCGTTTGTTTTTTGTTTCCCAGTGGTGAAAGTTTGACTGTTACGCGCACTTTATTTATTACCTTATTATTATTATTATTATTATTATTATTATTATTATTATTAATAAGCTACATTTACATTAAGTCCATTTCCGCCCTCAAATAGCAGGAGCTAGTTGGGGTGGGCGGAGATAATAGGTACAGCAGTCAGTAACAAATAAATAGATAGATAGATATGTATAGAAATAAGTGAAATAAAGCTTAAACATAAATTAATAACATTTACAAAATCAACTACTTGAAACTCGTAAAATTAACTGCTACACTGAATTAAGATATGTATACTTTACAAATTAAACTCGGTATTTGCTCAATAGTTATGTATTTTTTGAAGCAGAATGGGCGATTCAACATAATCGTCCTCGGCCTCTGATAACGAAAATAACGTGTCATTGATAAGTTTTTTGAAAGCTCTCATAGTTAGTAGTCGACGAAATTTATCACAAATAGAGTTCCAAAGCTTAGCTCCGAACTTAGCAAATGAACCATGGTTTTGATTCAGTCTCGATCAGTTAATATAAAAATTGCAAGAGGAGGAGAACCTGGTCTCGTGATTATGCTTTTCATGTTCTTTAGTGAAAAGATTACTAATGTTAGTGGGAACAGTTAGACATGAGACGTCAAACATTATTGAGGAAACTGTTTCAACGTGTAACATATTTAAAGAAAGGATTTTTGAGGAGGTAAATAAAGGCTCCGCATGTGCTCTGGGTTGAGAAATACAGTGGTAAAAGGGACGAGGTGCCAAAGACGGGCAATAACTCCAATAATTCTACTTATTTTTAGTGCTACATTGTCAATGTGGTATTTCCAGCTCAAATGACTATCCAGTAAGACACCTAGATATATTGCATGATCCTTACACTCAAGGGAAGTAAGAATATGATTACTATTATCAAACATTAGAATATTGACCGAATGGTCCATCTTACGTTGGTGAGGACGAAATATAACAAAGTTTGATTTTTTAGCATTTAATGTTAGCTTATTTGCATTGAGCCAATCCGAGACTCTGAGCAGTTTATTATTCACCGTTTTTTCAAGAGATTTAAGATTTTTGT